TCCCCACGCGCAGCTACACTCTCGCCCGCCCGCCCGCCGCGCCGGGGCGCCTTTTACTCCCTTTATATTTGCATAACAATAGGGCGCCCGTGACGCGCGCGCCGGCGACCGGATGATTGGGCGGCGCCCACGTGGGGGCGGGGCGGGGGCGGGGCGTGCCTGGGCGGTAGAGCGCTTCGCGGCAGGGGGCGCTGGTCGCCGGCAGGGGGCCAGGTGGCCGTAGCGGGGGGTCCTTGCTCTCCGCACCCCCGGGCTCTCCGCATCTCCGCGGTCGTCCCGCCTACTCCCCTTTCTGCCACTCGGGGAATTCCAAGCTCCCTCCGCGGACAGACCCAGGCCCGATCTCCGGCCGAGCGCAACCCCGAGGTGCACCGAAGGGCGGCCTACCCGTGGTGGGGGTTCGCTGACATTTCAGACCCGGGAGGCCCGGGTAGAGAGCCCGGGTCTCACTCCGCGCTTCCGGAGTGCGGGCCGCAGACCCTCTGCGTTCCTCGCGGGCTGGGTGCGCAGCGACAAGACTGGCTCAGCCTGGCCCCCAGGACACGAAGTCCACGCGGGTGACGAGTCCACGAACAGCTCGGGCGTGTGACCTGGGCCACGCGGTCTTTCCCGAACGAGGGCTGCTCCTCTGGCGGCCTGGGTCACCCCGTGTTTTGCCCCCAACCTGACAAGCGTGAGGAGCCAAACCCTGAGGTCCCACCCTGACGAAGCAGGGTCTTTACAGGAGGAAGCTGGGGGCTGGAGGTGCTCAGAAGCCCCTCCAAGGGGGGGAGGTCAGTCGGCCGGACCTCAGGGCCTGCTTCCCTCTCCTGGGCCACCTCCATCAGCACGACTAGGGACAGGCAAGGCCTGGCCAGGTGAGCAGCCCCAGGTAGGGCACCAAGGACCGAAAGAAAGCCCAGAAATGACTCATTTCCAATCTGTAAACCCATTTTTTATTGACATTCTAATACTCCCGCCAGATTTCCTCATTAGGATTTTACAGTTTATAGCTGGGCTCTGGTGGCTGCAAATCGAGCAGGAATGACTCTCGGAGCAGTAGGCCCAGGGCGGCAGGGCAGCACACAGGAACTTCAATTCCTTCCGAAGCGGGCTGGAAATTCCCGAGGAGGCGGCCCTGGGCCTCAGCCCGGGAGTCCCCCCCTGTCAGGCCTTGTTTGGGGATGGGCTCCCGTGGGCACCTGCCTGGTGTGCCCCATGTTTGGAGACATATGTGGGTGGGTGTGTGCCCCCCATCTCGCTCTGTGCTCTGGAACGAGTCACAGCAGAATCACAGGAAAAACTGGGTAAGGCCACCCCAGGGCTGGCTGCCTCTGGCCAGCTGCCCTCAGACCTGACCGTTGTGGACTCTCTCGGGGTCCTCCTGGCAGCCAGAGCTCCCCGAGTCCCTCCCTCTGGTCTTCCCGAGGCTGGTGGTCTGGCTGGTGGTCCAGCTCTTCTGCTCAGTCTTGCTCCCACCAGGAGCTCCCCACAGTGTAGGTGGGTAAGCCCTGGCCTGAGGCGGGAGTCCTGAACCAGGCCCTGCGCTAGGTTCAGCTGAGGTTGTGACCTGGTGGGGGTGGGGGTGGGGTGGGGTGCCGGTGTCAACAGCCCCTCCCTTGCCCCACTCATCTTGCCAGATGGGGTCCCTGGGCCCAGTAAGGGAGCCTGCTGGACTGTGAACCCCTCGAGGGCGGGGCCCTGACCACCTCCAGCACCCCCTTCCCTGCATCTTCCCAGCATCAGGGAAGAGGGCATAGGCCCTGTCCCCTGGGGCCTGTATTTACCTCTGGACAGTGCCCAGGGCTATCCCCAGAAGGTGGGGGGTTCATAGGCCCCAGCGCAGGTGGGTTCAGGTCCCCTGACCTGAAGAAGGGCATCTGGAGACCCTGTAGGGCCCGGGAGCAGAGCCCGGGGGTGAAATGTCCCTTTGACACCCGCGCAGGCTTCGGGGTGGGCAGACAAAGGGGCCCTGTGAGCTCAGTGTGGGAATGCACGGCCACCACCATGGGCCATGAAATCGGTGGCTTGGGTGCCCCCGGCAGGGACAGAGCGGCCACAGGAGTCTAGCCTGATGTTGCCTCCTGCCCCACCCAGGGCTCGGCGTGAGGGTCAGACAGGTGTAGCCAGGTCTGCCACTGTGGGGTTCGGGTGACAGTCACACTATCTCTGGGGAGCCGATGGGATTCCCGTGGCCGTGCCGTGGCTGGGAGGGTATTTCTGGTCTGAGCCGCTGTGGTCCACACCCTGGGAGTTGCCCCATTTGAGGACAGGAGGGGAAGAGGGGCTTGCAGGGCACTGGCTCCCAGTAAGCTCTTCTTCAGTGTTTGCTGAAGGAATGGTCCAAAAGGAGGACATTTGTTCCAAATGCCTTGGAGGGAATGGGGAAGCCAGGCCCCGCCCTGCGGCCCAGAGAAGCCCCTCTCCGGTGTGGGTGGGGTTTCTTGGTGGTGTTGTATAGATAAGCAGTTCGCTGGCTCTGAGTGAGAAATCCCTGACCTGGGGTCTGGGGGGACAGACTCGACCCTGACCATGCGGCAGGACCCCGTCCTTCTCCCCGTTGGCTCCAAGGATGCTGGCCCAGGAGTGCCACCCTGAAGGGCCGTGGTGGGTGGAGGCCAGAGTTGGAGAGGGCCCCCTTCTTTCTCTGGGGACCCCCTTCCTTTAGAGGCTCACAGCAGTGGGTATTGGGGGAGGGGAGCAATGTGGGCAGGGGTGGAGCGGTCTGGGGAGCATTCTGGGATATGGGCTGGGAAGGTCTGGGTGGAGCGGCCTGGGGAGGACAGCGCAGAAGAGGCGGCTGGCCAGAGCTGGGCCAAGGCCTGCGGCCACCTTAAAGGCACTAGGCGGG